TTTGTCTTCATCTCCTTCATCACATTCTAGCCCAAGGTACCATCTCCCTTCTGAATGTCTGATAATTTCTTTCCAACTAATTAGCCCTCATCATTCCAGCACCTCCCAATTAATTTTATATTAGCACCCAAAATATTTTCAAAATTTAATCTGATTGTAAAATATGAAAGTCTGCTTTGAGGCCTTTGTTGCAATTTTGTTTTCAGGATTAATTAAATTTGTTAGAATTTTGTTTTCAAGGTTAATTAAATTTGTTAGAAATTCGCTGATGGGTTTGTGTGACCCATCCTTATAGCACTGTTAGACATAAAATAGCCATTCAGGGCATAAATGGCTAAGTGATAGAGTACCACTAGCCTAGAAAAAGCCAAATGAGAGCAAAAGGCCCCAAGTTCACATCCTAGTAAGGGCATAAGAAAAAACAAGACAGTGGGAACACTGCCCCAAAAGAAATGTACTCTTTACCTGATTTTAACTTTAACTTCTCTGTGCGTCACTTTTATAATAACATTAATCTTTTTTAAGAAACAGTGTAAAATGGAATATCATTGCATAAAACCAAAGGAGTCATTCAATAAATACCAAATTGGCAAAGTAAGCAAATGCTGTTAGGTTCATATATACAAAAAAACAATTGTATATGTGTGTATATGCATGCACACACACATATATGTGTACTGGTCCTAGGGCTAAGAATTCAGGGCCTGAGTGTTGTCCCTGAGGTTTTTGCTCAAGGATAGCATTCTACTAGTTGAACTACAGTTCCACTTCTGTTTCTTGTGGATTAACTGGATCAAAGCCTAAGCGAGCTTTGATCCACAATTCTTAAATCTCAGCCCCTTGAGGAGCTAGAATTACAGGCATGAGCTACTATACCAGGCTCACCCAGTTTGTTTTATCTTTGTAAAAATTGACACGTTAGAATCATATTATTTATTTATTTATTTGGGTCCAGTTGTGGGGCCTGAACTCTGGGCCTGGGTGCTGTCCCTCAACTCTTCAGCTCAAGGCTAGCACTGTACCACTTGAGCCACAGCGCCACTTCCGGTTTTTTTTCCTGCTTATGTGGTGCTGAGGAATGGAACCCAAGGCCTCAAGCATGCAATGCGAGCGCTCTACCACTGAGCCACCTTCCCAGCCCTACAATCACATATTTATGGAATACAATGTAATGTTTATATAAGCGTAGATGCAACACTGAATAAGTCAAAGCTAATCAACACTGGTCAAAAATACATTTTAGGGCATTTGAAATATAATTTTAGCAATTCTGAAATACATATTAACTATGTCACCATGTTGTATAATAAGTATACAAAATTATTTCTCTGGTGTAATGGAAGCTTTTACCTTCTGACCATCTTCTCCACATTTTCTATGCCTGAATCCTCTCTTACTATTTTACTCTCCACTATAGATTCCAAAATATAAGTGAGATCATGCAATGTTTGTATTTCTGTGCCTGGGTTATTTCACTAAGCATAATATCCTACCGATTCATTCATGTTGTTTCAAATAACAGGATTTCCTTCTTTTCAAAAACAAAATGGTATGCCACTGTATAAATATAACACACTTTCTTTATTCCATCATCCACTGATGATATAGTTGATTCTTTATCTTGGTGTTATAAATGTAAATTCGTTTGTATGAGGCCCTAGCTGAGTTCAATCCTCAGCATTAAAAAAAAAAAAAAAAAAAAGAGTCAAGCTGGGAGCTTGGGGCTCACACCTGTAATCCTAGCTACTCAGGAGGCTGAGATATAAGGATCTCATTCAAACAAAGCCAGCCGGGGCAGGAAAGTCAGTGAAACTCTTATCTCCAATAAACCACCAGGAAACTGGAAGTGGCGCTGTGGCTTAAGTGGTAGAGCACTTGCCTTAAGTTGAAGAGCTAAGGGACAGCATCCAGGCCCAGAGTTCAAGCCCCATAACTGACCAAAAAAAGAAAAAAAGTCAGGAAGGGAGAAAGGGAAAGAAAAGAGAAGGGATAAAGGAAAAAAGAAAAAATGAAATTCAGTAAAACTCTCTTGACCAATAGAAAGCTAAAATTACATTAAAAAGCCCCTCAAAAGTGACCATAAAAAATGCTGATGATTAATGGGTGGCTCATGACTGTAATACTAGCTACTCACAAAGCTGAGATCTAAGGATCGAGCTAGCCAAGGTAGAAAAGTCCCCGTGAGATACTTACCTCCAATTAACCACTCAAAAATCAGAAGTGGCTCCTGTGGCTAAAGTGCTAGAGCACTAGCCTTGAATACAAAGAGGCTCAGGGATAGTGCCCAGGCTCTGAGTTTAAGCCCCACAATTGACCAAAAAAACAAACAAAAAAAGCTGATGACTCAAGTTGTAATCCTAGTAACTCAGGATGCTGAAATCTGAGGATTCAGTTCAAAGCCAACTGGAACAGAAAAAGTCATGAGACTCTATCTTCAATTAATCAGCAAAAATATTTAAAAAGTTGGAGGTAGAACTGTGACTTAGTGGTAGACCTCCAGTCTTGAGCAAAAATCTAGAAGAAGAATGCTTCCTGGCCCTGAGTTCAAGTCCCAGTTCTGGCATAAAAAAGGAGAGCTTTTCTAAAACTCAAGTTGACCAAGGTTTTAGATGAATCTTTTTGAGTTCTATTAAAAAAAAAAAAAAAGCTGCCATGTACAATGACTCAAGCCTGGAATTTTATCTACTTGGAAGAAGATCAGTAGATCATACTTTCAGGCCAATCACGATACAAAAAAGTTTACAAGACTCAACTGCAACCAATGGCTGGATACAGTGTAATGTACCTGTTACTCCAACTACAGCGAAGTCACAAGTAGGAGGACAGCAGTCCAGGCCAGCCTGGACATAAAAGCAAAAACTTAACTTAAAAATAACTAAGGTAATCCTAGCTACTCAGGAGGCTGAGATCTGAGGATCACGATTCAAAGCCAGCCCGAGCAGGAAATTCTGTGAGACTCTTATCTCCAATAAACTACTAGAAAACTGTAAGTGCCGCTGTGGCTCAAGCAGTAGAGCGCTTGCCTTGAGCTGAAGAGCACAGGGACAGCACCCAGGCCCAAAGTTCAAGCCCCACTACCAAAAAAAAAAAAATCTAAGGTAAGCTAGGTGCCGATGGTTTACTTCTATAATCCTAGCTTGTCAGGAGGGTGTGATCTGAGGATTGCAGTTCAAAGCCAGCCAGAGCAGGAAAGTGTGTCTTCAATTAACCACCAGAAAACTGGAAGTGGCACTATGGCTCAAAGTAGTAGAGTACTAGCTTTAAGCAAAAAAGCTCAGGGACAGCACCCAGGCCCTTAGTTCAAGTCCCATAACCAACAACAACAACAACAAAAAACAAACAAAAAAATGGAGGCATAAAAGGTCCTAGCAGCATGGCTCAGTTTGATAAGAGCACCTACCTTGCAAGATAAGAATACCTACCCTGCAAGCATGAGGTCCTGAGTCCTACCCTCAATCTCACCCCCCCACACACACACACTCACACCATTATATGCCTAAGAGAGGTATGTTATGAATGTTAAGTTACAGAAGAAAGTGAAAATAGGCTATATGAGTCTCCAATTCTAAAGACAAAGAGACAGATTCTGGGAAACACAGGCATTACAGCTGTTTCTCAGATGTGCAACTACCTAAGAAACTGTAAGGTATGCAATTCCATGATTACAATCATTTAATGGATCACATGACTCAATCAAAAGCTATGCTTTTTTCTACTTACTAGGACATAACAGTAAAAACAAACAACAATCTCCCTATGTGAAACATTTACCCTGTGTGTGTGTGTGTGTGTGTGAGAGAGAGAGAGAGAGAGAGAGAAAGAGGGAAAAAGAGAGAGAGACGGAGAGAGAGAGAGAGAGAATGTGTGTGTGTATAAATTTCCAGGGGCAGAAAGGGATATAAATGGCCAACCAAATATTATTTATCAGACTATGCTATGCTACATAATTTGAAGAATAACATAAAAGGTTAAGGAGATAATAGGAGAGTGGTATTGTTATTTTACATGAGTAGTTAGGGAAAGCCTCATGGTCAACACAACCATATTTGAACAAAATCTCAGAGAGAAGATTCTCAGACTGAACTACGATGGTAACCATTATGATTCAAGTATTTAACAATTATATTCCTAATTAAACTCTCAACCAGACAATCAATAGCTAAGTATAAAAGTATAAGACAAAAAGTATAACAAATATTTACATGAAACTTGTACATACTAAAATCACCATTGCTGCATACAGTTCTTATTCTACTATATGCAAGTTTCATGTAAATATTTGTTATACTTTTTATCTGAAACATCCCACAAATGTCCATGTATTAACAGCTTGATTTCCAACTCATGTTGCTTTTGGGAGACAGTAAAACCTTCATGAAATGGAGCCTACTAGGATGCTTGTCCTGAAACTACATATTGGGACCGACTGTTTCCTGTGTTTTACTTCCCAGTTACCATGAAGTGAGTTGTTTTTCCACATCTTCCCACCATGATGTGCTGCCCTGACATAGGCCCAAGAGAAATGAGACAGCTGATTATGAACTATAATTCTCAAATCCGTGAAAGAAAATAAACCTTCATTTTTTGTTGGTCGTGGGGCTTGAACTCTTGGCTTGGGTGCTGTCTCTCAGCTCTTCAGCTCAAGGCCAGAGCTCTACCACTTGAGCCACAGTGCCACTTCCGGTTTTCTGGTAGTTTACTGGAGATAGAGTCTCATGGACTTTCCTGCCTAGGCTAGTTTTGAACCGTGAGCCTCAGATCTCAGCCTCCTGAGTAGCTAGAATTACTGGCTCCTGGCTTAAATCTTCATTCTTATAAACAGATTGAGGTATTTTGTTACAGTGATAGAAAGATATACTTTGACAAAACCCATTATCTTCAATTTAATAAGAATCTATCTATCTACCTACCTGTCTGTCTGTCTGTCTGTCTATCTACACACACATACACACACACACACACACACACACACACACACACACACACACTTTCCCCCTTACATCTTTTGAAGAACCTGGGCCATCACAACCCCATTCGTTAAATCTTCCACAGTCTGGCATGGTGTATCCACATTAAATGTCTGGATCTGAAGGGAGAAAAAAAAAGTTTTATTAATTAACGATTTCTTAGGCTTTTGAGTAGTATAATTATCTCATCTTAGAAGTTGGAATACATTTTAAATGAGAAAATAGGAAGGTGTGGCAGTGTACAACTATAATCCCAGTACTCAGGAGACTGAGGCCGGAAGACTGTCAGATCAAGGCCTACTTGGGCTACAGAGCAAAACCCCATTTCAGAACCACCAGCATAACAAATAAATAAAGGTAAATAAAAAGAGCAAATAATTGGCAACATCTCCCTTATAGGAAATTTCCTGTGGATTATAATTTTTGGTGAGGAAGAAATTATTGCATAATTCTATTTACATTCTGACAAAATAATAAATAGCACATTGAACTTATCTACCAATGACTGACAAAGATATAAACAGGGCAAGATAATGTGGACCAAAGGAATGTTCTGGGAGAGAAAAGTCAATCTCTTAATGTGAATAAATGTGTTGCCTTAATCTGCTAGCAGTCATCTTATAACTACTAAACAAAGTGATCAGACAAGTGAGGTCAGTATATTGGAAGGCAGACAGGGGGTGATAGAAAGAACTGGATGCTTGAAGTAAAAACTGAACTATTAAAATTTAAAGCATAGCTGGGTACTGGTGGCTCATGAGGCTGAGATCTAAGGATCACAGTTCCCAGCCTGGGCAGGAGTCTGTGAGACTTTAATGTCCAATTAACCACAAAAAGACAAAGTGCGCTGTGGCTCAAGTGGTAGTGAGCTAGCCCTTGAGCAAAAAATACCTCAAGGGCAGTGCCTACGCCCTGAGTTCAAGCCCCAGGACTGGCATAAATAAACAAATGTGTTCAGCTGGGAAGTTGGCTCAGTGATAGAGTGCTTGCCTTGCATGCATGAGGCCCTGGGTTCAATTCTTCAATACCACATACGCAGATAAAAGCCAGAAGTGGTGCTGTGGTTCATGTGGTAGGGCACTAGCCTTGAGCTGAAGGGGTGAGTGAGGGACAGCACCCAGGCCCAGAGTTCAGCCCCCACCACCAAGGGGGGGGGGGAACAAATGTGTTAAAGCCTCCTTTATGTGAGGTTATTCAGAGCCAAAGAATCTTTATATAGATGTCTACAGGCAGAAGTGATTACCTTAGCAGAAGTCATTATTTAATATGATTAGGTTTGGTATTCAAAATCAATTTTTACTTTAAATAAATACATTCTGAATCAGCACAATTTTTTTTTTTTTTGGTAACAGGATATAACAGAAAAAATTGATGACATCCAGTAGTCTAATCTGAATTCAGGAGGAGAAAAATCATTGAAAATAGACACAGACTACCCTTACCTAGACCTTTCAGTTTAATGAAACAGTACTATGAGAAGTTGAAAAACAAACACAAAGATTAGAGGTAAGAGTATGTAAATACAATCTAGGAATGAAAAAGCAATCCACTATGGAGTGTGGATTGTATAAAGAAAACAACTGGGAGAGAGCAATGAAAGGAGAGACATGGTTCAAAAAGAATTGTACTCATTGCTCATTACCTGATTCATGGAACTGTGTAACCCCCGCTGTATATCAACTCTACAATAACAATAAAAAATAAAGAGATAAAGCAGGGAGAAAAATAAAAAAATGAAAAAATTAAAAAGCATTAGCATTCAACTCTCTTAGGATTTTCTCCTAACAATTTTAAACAGGAAAGTAAGGCCATTTAACTTGAACTACATACAGATAATATTGGCTGAAGTATGAAGAAAGGACTAGAAGGAAAAAGGCAGGATAATATGTACGAACATAGAAGAGTAAAGTAGATAGTGATGTAAAAATACTGAAAATAACATTCAGAACCAGGCACTGTATTCTTAGCTACTTAGGAGGCTGAGATCTGGGGACTGAGGTCTGCCGAGGATTAACTGTCCCTCAGCTCTTCAGTTCAAGGCTAGTGAGCTTCCACTTGAGCCATAGCACCACTTTCGGCTTTTTTTCTACTTATATGGTGCTGAGGAACCGAACCCAGGGCCTCATGCATGCAAGGCAACGCTCTACCACTGTGCCACCTTCCCAGTCCCAGTACAAGACTCTTTATCTCCAATTAACCACTAGAAAGCAAGTAGAGCTATTTCTCAAGTGGTAGAGTCTCAAGTGTGAGTGAAAAAGCTGAGGAAGAAGGCTTGAGTTCAAGCCCCAGTACTAGCACTAAAACAAAACAATGTTCAAGTGAATATCTGACTTTTATTTATAATGAAGAAGAAATGAAAACTGCTGGATCAAATTGTATGCAGTTTAAAGTTCTTGATAAATATTCCCAAACTGCCTTTAAATAAATGCAGCAGGCTAGTATGTACCTCTCTGTACCATACTAGTCATAGCTTCTTCATATTCTTATGGGTAATGATGGTTATGAAGGCAAAGACCAAAAAAAGTATCTTATAGATCTTCATAGAAGGTAATTTTTATTAAGATATATATTTGGGAGAGGCGTTGAGATTCCAATCAATTACACAGAAAGTTTCAGTAAAATATTAAGCCAGTGAACTTCGCTTGCATCTCAGCTACTCAGGATGCTGAGGTTAAGACAATTACAAATTTGGAAATAATCATCATCTGTACTGAGTTGGAACTTCACACTAACTGCAGTTGTCTCTTCACTGGTAATATGTTAATCATAATGAAGTAGGGAAGTCAGGTCTGGCTGGCGCCATATTGGCCACATGGTGGATCTTAGGGTCTGGCATCTTGTCTTCATGCTGCGGGAAGGAAACCCCCTGCCCATCACCTGCTTCCTACGTGATTGGAGTGCCTGGATCCCTGGAGGCAAGAGTGGGCACTTGGCTGATAGGTTACTGAATCTGTCAGTCCAGTCCTCAGGACTTTACTGAATCTGTCAGTGCAGTCCCCAGGACTGGGAATTTCCTGTGGATCTGCCCCCTGTGCCAACCTATCTAGGCAGGGACCAGACTAGCTGCCATCACTCCATGTCACGTGTGTCTCTGTGATCATGTGCAGTGTCCTTTCTCCTGGCTCTTCTCCAGTCATCATGGTGTCCCAATTCAGCTTCCATTGGAATTGAATTGGGTTGTTAGCATTGTTTTTGTTCTTTCTTTCCACTTCAGCCTGTTTCCTAGCTATGTTATGTGTATTTGCGTGCTGTAGGCCTTTGTAATGACTGGCTGCCTGCAGCCTGTTAACTGTATGATAAAGACTCAAAATGTGGCTCCTGGCATGATTCACCTTACAACAATGTAAAAAGAAATAAGTACTCTTCATTTGAGAGTTGCCAAAATTGCTAATTTAAAATATGCCTTTCATGTAGGTTTCTAAAGGAAAAAGTGAAATAGCAGTGAAGGCTACATCTCATTTATCTCTTTATCACACTACTTTATACATAATACTTACAACAATAAGTTCAAGGTGAATACTGCATCAAATATAATGACTTAATTCTAATCCCTAGTTTTCTAATTTGGAATGCAACTTTGTATATTTCATCTCATCTCTATTTTTAAATTTTTTACAATGATATTCCCAAGACACTATGTTGGAAATGAAGTTTACAACTTGGGAGGACAGAGGGAGGTGGGGGAGGGAAGAGATAGTAGGAGAAAAACAAAGGAGGGGGTAACAATGCTCCATAGGAAATGTACTCATTACCTTACTTATGTAACTGTAACGCCTCTGTACAGCATCTTTACAATAAAACTTTAATATTATTATTATATATTTGTACAAAGGGGTTACAATTCCATAAGTGAAGTTATGAGTACAATGCATCTTGGTCAATTCACCCTTTTATTTGTTCTTCCCCATTATCTTATCTCTTTTCTTTTTTTTTAATTGTAAAGATACTGTACAGAGGGGTTACAGTTACATGAGTAAGGTAATGAGTACATTTCCTATCAAGCATTGTTACCCCCTCCTTCGTTTTTCCCCTACCATCCCTTCCCTCCCCCACCCCATCTTATCTCTCTTAACACTAATTTTTCCATGTAAAAGTTGGAAAAAATCTGCTGGGTGCTGGTGACTCACCTGTAATCCTAGCTACTCGGAAGGCTGAGATCTGAGGATCACAGTTCAAAGCCAGCCTGGGCAGGAAAGTCCAAGAGATTTTTTTTTTTGTCTTTTTTTTTTTTTTAGTACTGGGGATTGAACCCAGGACATTGAACTTGCTAGGCAAGCACTTTGCCACTGAGCTACATCCCAGCCCAGTCCATGGGATTTTTATCTCCAATAAACTACCAGAAAACCAGAAGTGGCACTGTGGCTCATGTGGTAGAGCACTTGCCTTGAGCTGAAGAACTCAGAAACAGCACCTAGGCTCAGAATCCAAGCCCTATGACAGACCAAAAAAAAAGTTGGAAAAATCTATCTTATGTAGGGAGAGGTGTGGGGCGTAAATGAGTGAGAAAATAAGTGCACATTAGGTATTCCAAACGTCTTATGTCCCCAACCCAGGGTATAAAAAATAAGAATCATCTGGAAAGTATTCACTTTGAAAATACGTTTTTTTTAACTCTACAGAACTAATCTGTGTGTGTAGAAACCTGGAAATCTATTTTTAATAAGTTCATCATTAATTCTTATATAACTGAACACCGGTTTCAATTAGAAAACCTTGGATCTAAATTAAAACAAATATAATTGATGTAAGACTATCCCCCATCAGTGCTAAGGTGCCGGGGATAGAACCTACGGCTTTGTACATGCTACAAAAATCACTCTACCACTGAACTACATCCCCACTTGGTATACAAGAATAGAAACTTCCTCTCACCAGAAAAATTAAATCAAACAATTTATTTATTTATTCATTCATTCATTTGGTGCTGGTCTGGGGCTTGAACTTAGTGCCTAGACTCTGTCCTTGAACTTTTTTTTGTTCAAGGGTAGTGCTCCACACACTTTCCTGCCTAGGCTAGCTTAGAATTGCAGTCCTCAGACCTTAGACTCCTGAGTAGTTAGTATTAAAGACATGAGCCACCAGTGCCCAGCCAAGAAAAGTAATTTTAAAGAGCAATTTA